CACTGTTTACCTTCCTGCCACAACAGTACCTATTTATATACTCACACTGGTATGCTTCCAAACTGCCTGGTTCACAGAAGCTGGGATCACAGAAGGGGAGCTCACCTGATTGCACAGATTTGAACCACCAACCCTATGACTGGCAAGCCCAAGAGGCTCATTGGTTTAGAACACAGCACCACCTGCATACCCCCCCCCCCCCGAGTGTGGGGAGGGGAAATTTAAAAAAAGGTTCCCGTTGGTACTAAGCACAACTGAAGCACCATAAGATGTGCATGTGCAATGGGTGGGTAGGGTGTGAGTGGAATTACAGTGGGGTGATGGGAGGGTGATGGGAAGAAAAACTGCCCCCCCCAATAATTAAATATAGAAAAAAGGTTGCAAGTTACAGAATTATTATCACATGCTGTTAGCACAATCTTCATAAGTGATCAGGGATTTCAGCTTGCATCTCTAACATTTCCATTTCCGCCAGGAGGCAAAATTCTAAAATTGCATGAAAACATTTCATAGCAACACTTCAAAAACCTTCCAGCACCTGTATCTGTTCCCCCACCCCCAATATCTTATAATCCAGTCTTCATCAGAGGCAATAGCCATTTCATATATCCATCATTTTGATGTTTTCTCCCTGAGTGCATCTATTTTTGACACATGTGCATAAATAGGCAACATGGATACAGATCTGAGTACCCTGCTTTTCAATAGGGCACATAATGAAAAATGGGGTAACAATTCACATGGAATGCACAAGCAAGATTGCTACCTGCTTTCAAAAGTTGCAGATATGCTGTTGTAGATAGGTGTCCCAAACATGGAATGCCAGCATTCAAGAAGATGGAAAGACAGCTTTTAATTTTATCTGTTTCTCACCAATTTTTAACTCTGTTTTTAAATATAAGGGAAGCACTAGTAGGATCTCAGACTTGGGAAAGGCTTTACCAAAATGGAAAGAAAACATTAGGGCAAATGCCAAGAGGAAATTATTTAATTAGACTTTCTCCCATTTTGGACAGCTGTATTTAAGGCATAAAATAATAATTTACATATTCTAGAGAAATGTTAAGCTGTGATAATGCAATCAGAGTAGACCCCAAGCAATGATTTAATCCTCAGCATTTTAATTACAGTTCTTATAAATCTTACCCCCTTCCTTTAAAAGTTCAGCATGGACTATGTTCAGAGGTGGTAATATCTGATATAATTTATTGCATAAGGGAAAATCCTATTATCACTTGCATATGATTGCCTTCCATGATAGTAATTATTTCCTTAAAATTTTTGATTTATGCATCTAATTTCAAACCCAGCCTATTAGAAGATGCTACTTAACTGTCTTTCCAATTGTCACTGTGAGGCTCTGTGGCCTGATGAACATATGGCATTGTCCTATCTTCCCTTCCTGGCATGGAAAGATGAGTGGAGCCACAAACATGTCAATTACCTGACATCATAATGACATCAGTTGACCAGTTGTGGTGCCTCAGGTTAACAACAGTTTCAGGTTCAGAACGAATTAAGTTCTTAACCCGAGGTACCACTGTATAATATATAGGTAAAGGTAAAAGGGATGTGGATGGAGCTGTGATCTAAACCACTGAGCCTCTTGGGCTTGCCGATCAGAAGGTTGGCAGTTCGAATCCCCACGACAAGGTGAGCTCCCGTTACTCAGTCCCAGCTGCTGCCAACCTAGCAGTTCAAAAGCACACCAGTGCAAGTAGATAAAAAATAGGTACCGCTGTGGTGGGAAGGTAAACGGCATTTCCATGCAGTCTGGTTTCCATCTTGGTGTTCTGTTGTGCCAGAAGCAGTTTAGTCATACTGGCCACATGACCCAGAAAACTGTCTGTGGACAAATGCCAGCTCCCTTGGCCTGAAGAGAGATGAGTGCTGCACCCCATAGTCACCTTTGACTGGACTTAACCATCCAGGGGTCTTTTACCTTTACCTATATAATATATTTATACATGTACACAGTCAGCTTATGCATTTGCTCCTTGTCACAAAGAAGTTGGATGCTGGTACTTTTCATCTACATATGCCTATGTTTAGCTAGCTAACTTTACACAGTAAACATAATATGTTACAGACTTCACACAGAAGTCGGCAAAAAGCATTTCAATGAGACTTTCCTCATCCATCCCTAGGAATTACATCACCTTCACCCATAACTGTGAGCCAAACCAAGCTTCCACCTCCCTTATGGAAGCTAGAAAGATTTTCAGCCTTATCTTTCAACAGTTAGTAATATTTATGTACAATCTGTGGGTCTCTACACTCTGTAGAAGTAGTGACATTCAAATAGGCAACAGATAGGTGTATAAGCCTCCCAAAATAACCAGAACCCAGGACAGTGGGGTTTCACTTTCAGAATGCATATTGAAAATGCAGCAAAGAATATTTTCTATTTCCCCTAACCTACTGAGTTTCGTAAGCTGGAGCAGTAAAGAGAAGAACAACAATTTATTTTATCAATTTGAAGGAGGCTAGCAAAAAACGTGAGACTGAGATTTCAGCCTTTGATGACTACTGCATTATGGTAAAGAGGTAATTTTTCAGAGCGGCCATAAATCCAGAATCTCATTATAAAAAGAAAGGAGTGCTCTGATTTAAAACGAGTAGACTGGACAGGAAAAAAACCCCTACTAATAGCCATTGTTTTTGATAATAGTTGCAGCTCTCGAAAGGTTGGTCTTGAGTTTGGGAATCATGGCTTTGCTCTGGGAGTGTGGTGTTATAGCAGACACATGTCAGTGCTGCACCTTTGGCATTTATTATGTGAATGAAATGTAATGCCGCTGGGAGGAGCATGGGTTGATTGTCCACAAGCTGTGCGCAGATGCAGAAGATGGTAGGTGTTGTGGACTGCTTAAGAACATAATAACAAAAGAGCAGAATCTTGTTCCCACATTGGCCAGTCAGATGCTTCTGGGAAGCACACATGCAGGACCTGAGTGCATCAGCACTTTTCCAGAAACTTCTATTCAGAAGCATTGCTGCCTCTGACACTGCAGGTAAAACATAGCTCCCAGTTAGTTGCTATTGATCAATTTGTCTAACAGTTATTGCATTAATTTACAAGGCCTTGCCAACTTGGGTCCAGGGTACTTCAGGAACCACATGTTTTCTTAAGTCCCTGCCTGATCACTGAGGTCTTAGGGGGAGTTACTGTTAGTCATTCCACCTAACTCGTATCCACCAATAGCCATGCATTCAATATTGTGGGCCCAATTCTATGGAACTCTTTGAGATCAGACAGGCCCTATTCTTACTGAACTAACTGCAGACTTCATTATTCCATCAGAAAATTAAACTGAATTCTGATTGTATAGTTTTCTCATGTTTATTTTCATTGTGTTTAGTTTATGTACAGTGCTTAAAGATAATTTTAATTATGCAGTTAATAAAGGGTCAATAATAATAATAATAATAACAACTAAATGAACATCCTGCCTGTTTCAGCTGCTTTTTGTAAGAACAAAAATAGGGGATACAGTGGATTAAAGGAATATGAAGCTTGAACCACCGGTAATAGGTAAAAAACGACAACACAAAAAACCCCCAATGAGCTAGCAAAAATCCTAAAGCAACCCTAACCATTTAAATCCTGCCTTAAATAAAATATTTTGCTGCCCATTTAATCCATTACACAACAGGTAAAGGAAGTAGGAAATGAAGTAAATAGACTCATTAGTTCTGTTGTTGTATACTATACAAAGACAGCATATACTCAAAAACCAGTGTTGTTTCCCCTACGTAATCATGCTAAATTATAAAAACCCTCAATCAGCACAGCCTGTTTAAATATCATTCACTTTAGCAGTACAAATTTGCTAGGTATTTTCTATCTTCTTCCGCATTAAGGGAAAGAAATACCCCCCTCTCTTTTTAAAGACTGTTATTATTTATTTTCATTTTTTTTTCTTTAACCAAACACAGTATAAGTCTGGGAAATACAAAGATGGCAAGACTGGACATTTGCCAGGGCCCCAGGTGAGGAGAAGCATTTTGGGTACAATGGGCAAGACCCCGCTTCATATCCTGAAGTCAGCACTGCCTGGAAGTGTTTATCTGAGCATTTTAGCAGCCAGCCTGCAACATCCAGCATTTGCTTTGGTTTCCAGTAGAACACTGAATGTGCAAATGTGTTGCTGCCGCTCTGTTTTTATTTTTGTTACAAAAATGTCACAGTTAAAACAAGTACATGCCACTGGCTAGCAGGGCCAGAGGCAAAAATATGCAGTGCAGTGAATGTAAATTTCACCTTTGATCAGTAGACTAGCTTCTGCACATACTCATGCACCCCTCCCCATCCTCCCTTGGCATGATCCAAGTTCAGTGGCATGTTCCAGCCAGACAAAAACATTCAAGGAGGCTGTGAAGTAGGGCTGGTGAGGAGTGTGGCCTAGGGAGAGACCTTGGGGCCAGGTAACCCTGGAGGGCTGCATTTTGCCTTCTCTGCCCCTATTCTACACAACCATCGTAGTTTGTAGTCAAGCCCTGAATTATTCAGAAAGGTTCACATAACCAGGATTCATTGCTGATTTAAACCTCCCCCAAGTCGACATGCTTGACATCCTGCTTTATTCAATCCCATCTATTTTATTTTATCAGTCCATCAGTGAGTGTGTCTGTCTGCTCTGCTCGTGATCTATCGTGCAGCGTGGGTTGGATGACATAGCACTTGGGGAAATGGAGTCATCTGAGCAAGGGAGGGGGATGAGTGCTACAATTAAACAGCAATAGTTTATTCTTCTCACTCTTCGTTTAATCTCTTCTCATTATCATGTGTCCTTTTCCCCCTTGATGTGTGCGGCTGTCTCTGCATGCGGTATTTCTCCCCTCACATTGCCAGCGGCATTAAGGCTTGTTAAGATTTTTCCCAGATTCATCTCCAACCAAGTCAATAGCTTAGGGCCACCACTACAGCATCCCTGTGGACTGTTATCTCCCTCTTTGGGGAATCATTTAGGAATACGAGGCATGTGATGTATTGCAGAAGGGACATAGCTTTGTGGAAGAGTGTCTGCTTTCCATGCAGAAGCTCCAAGGTCCAATCCCCAGTGTCTCCAGGTTGCACTGGAAGAGCCTCCTGTCTGAAATCCCAGAGAGCTACTGCCAGTCAGTGTTGATAAGACTGGGAAAGATGGACCAATGATCTGATCCAGTGTACGGAATGTTTCCGAGCACAATTCAAAGTGTTGGTGCTGACCTTTAAAGCCCAAAACGGCCTTGGCCCAGTATACTTGAAGGAGCATCTCCACCCACATCGTTCTGCCCAGACACTGAGATCCAGTGCCCAGGGCCTTCTGGCGGTTCCCTCACTGCGAGAAGCCAAGTTACAGGGAACCAGGCAGAGGGCCTTCTTGGTAGTGGCTCCCACCCTGTGGAAAGTCCTCCCACCGGATATCAAGGAAATAAACAACTATCTGACTTTTAGAAGACATCTGAAGGCGGCCCTATTTAGGGAAGCTTTTAATATCTGAAGGACTATTGTATTTTAATATTTTGTTGGAAGCTGCCCAGAGTGGCTGGGGAAACCCAGCAAGATGGGCAGGGTATAAATAATAAATTATCATCATCATCATCATCATCATCATCATCATCATCATCATCATCATGATAGAATTTTGCTGACCTTCTAAAACTACCTAAGGATAGAAGTCATATGAAAAGGGGAACTTGGGGTGGGTTGTGAGATGGAGGTGGTACTGGACCCATAATCTGTAGCTTCTATAGAGAGCTTATTGTATTTGCACAGTGCAAGTTGAAAGCAGGATTGGCACCACTGGTATATTTGCACAGCATTGAGCTTGCCATTGTACCCCTACCCCCTGTGCGCCAGCATGCTGCAGCGACTCAAAAAGATGGAGCCTCAGATAAAGTCCCAGTCAGACGACTTATGAAAGTCGCAGTCAGAGGAAGACTGGGAGTTTATAGGAGCTGTTTGTCCCATTCCTTCCTGGTTGCTTTTAGTTACTGCTACTGATGGAAGGTGGTTGGAGCAGTTTCACTGAGGCTATCAGATGGGCATGGGGTTACCTGGGTTGCCTGCTTCTCTCTGTTCTCCCTTGAGGAGAACTCCTTTGAGTTGGGGGGGGTCTTAAGTCAGCTAATATGCTTTCACAGGTTTGTTTCTAACATTATTTATATCCCACCTTCATGTAAAATATCAGGGTGGCTATCAGCAATAGAAAACATAAAGGACCTCATTAAAAGTAGTACAAAACAATCATTAAAATGATTAGTTACTCAATATAATTTCAGGCCGCATAGGCCTGCCAACACACACACACACACACACACACAGACAGACATCCAAGAGATACCTGAAAGTCAAAAGCAAGGATGCCTGCTGAATCTCTGCTGGAAGCTTTTGGAGAATTCTGGTTCGATTCAGGTTTTAATGTGAACCTTATTCACACATTCTGAAACAACATTTGAATCGAAACACAGCAAGCCTTCAAAATTTGCAGTTCCATCAATTTTGTGATGCAGTTCTTCAGCCAAATAATGTATACAAATAGTGCACATTAGGGGAAAGTGCATAAAATGTATGCATTTGTGAAAATAACATCTATTATATTCAGCAAAATTGCTTGCATGTATATAGGGGGGAAATATTGCTCCAGAATACGGACAAATTTTCATGCACATTTCATGCGAACTGCATATTGATGGGGGGGGATAGAAAAATAAGAAAGAAATCTATATTTTTGGATCACTTTGTATTACAAGTGAAAAGAAAAACTTTTGACACATTGCTGCTATTTTCGGGAAAAACCATATAGTTTCCGTTAGCCTTGGCCTAACCAAGATTGAACACAGCAACTTCAAAGATAATAACAGGAATACAGCTGTTTGTTCTACAAGGGTGGAACTGTCTGTAATGGTGCAGAGTGATTCTAAAAAGAAAGCTTTTATGTGTGTGTATATATAATCCTTCAATGAAGGAACTTTTGGCAAACCTGTTTGAACTCAACACATGAGTAAACAGTCCTGCCAAGATCCCAGGTGGTATGACTGTCACACTCTTATCTACGGTTTACAACTTTGTGATATGCCATAGGGACTTGAACTTTTACAGCTGTAATGAACCATGTTTGGGGCTTGTGCTTCAAGGGGTGCAGGGGAAATATTCCTTTGATATGGAATGTGAAGGAGTGGACACAGAAAAGAATGGCAGTAGGTCTGGTGTGAATGTTGCCAGAGGGAAGAGGGTGGGGTAAGAGTTGGATGGGAACAAATAAAGGAGTTCACTACTTCTAATTACATTCATCCCAGACTTCAATTTACTGTAAATTTGTTTTCACTCTCCCTTAGATAAACACTTTGTTCTTAGCTCCGGGTATTTGTCTGTGAAACCAACACTTTGAGGGTTGAAACACCTATCCTGATACCTACACCTCCCAAGAGGAGTTAGCACACAAAAATCTATGACAATTTTAAATTGTAGTATACTTTGCATGTTCAGACCCAGAGACCTCCCCCCTAAATAAAGACACATTTGACTCAAATTTTAGTTTTGATTTTTGGCAGAATTTAGGCCACAACTTTGTTGATTACAGAAAGTGAGTGGTTGCACAGACTCTGGTTCAACTAGTTCCCTACACCCTTGCAGGTAGCGCTGACCCAGAGCTCTATCATAGGTCAGCCAAGGGTGAATACCTGAGGTAGGCAGAAAGCCCGGGAACGGACTATGTCCACTCTCCAGATGCTCCCCTGGACTCAGGCACAGGCACAACCCCCTCTTGGGGGTTGACCAAACCAAGTTGAGTCCCTGGATTCCTTTAATGGAATACCCTTCACATAGGGATGGCAAGACCATTCTCCCATCCCTATCACCTGAACCAGTGCCTATCCTCTACACGAGCACCCGTGCTCACCGCCAACCACTCACATCTGTAACCAGTCCCTTAACCCTGCTGACAATGAGCCACAAATCATTCCCAATCACAGACAGATGAACCCCATCAAGACTGTAAAGCGATGCAGCATGGAAGTTAATGCCCAGGTGACAGATCACTGTCCCATCCAAAGCCAGAACCTTCTTGGCCACTGCACTCTGGATGCACCTCCTGGTCCTCTTGCTGGCAGCTGAGCATTGGCTACCTCACTACACACGTCAGTGCAACAGCTGCGACCAAAAATTTTTGAGTCCAGGAAGAGCTGCCTTCAACTCTTCCAAGTCCTCTTGCATGCAGGTCCGCAATCTCAAGCCGTGAGCTTCTGGCAAATCATTCTCGCCCAGCTGTGCCACCATAGGTGTGCCTTCTGCAGACACCTTCGCCCACACCATCGGGAGAAGCTCCTCCCAACGCATTCCTCATCTGGATACCCAGCAGATGCACATGTGGTCGGGGAGTCCGAGCCTGCGTCCAAATCCAGACTCCTCTGCCCTCCTGCCAGCCCAGTGGATGTTAGTTTATTCAGCTCTGGCCCTTGAGCTGATACGGCTCATTTTGACTTGAGCCCAGCAGAGTTTAATCCCAGTCCACAAACGAAAGGATGAAGCAGGTATAGTGCTACATTGCTATGCTTTATTTCTAAGCTATACCGAGAACACACAAATGTACATCTTGCCTCTGTGAGAGCAGAGAGCAACTCCCAACAAAGAAACGACAGAACAAAGAAACAGGAAACCAGTGAACATCACATCCAGTCTCCCTTTCCCGTAGGAACCCAACAGTAACTGAACTGTGGAATGAAAACATAGTCCCATGACTTGCAGCTGCTGCTCAGTGAGGGAAACAGAAACCAACAGTGGACAATGCTGTGCCCGACTATCCAGACGTGCAGGGCAGGCGAACCTAGGAATGAACAAAACAACTTTAATAATGGCACCTCAGCGCTGCTTCCATACATAACCCCTGTATGCATCAGACTTCCAGCGGCCCAGGTCCTTGATCCTGTCAATGGACAGGCCCCAATGCCCAGCAGTGGTGGCAGCACCAATGTGAAAGGAATGAGGTGCAAACTCACTGGCTAGCTGGCCACACGCTGTGATCGCCTTACGCATTACTGCAGCAAACTGATACCTCCTTAACGGGCTCACATCCCTGTGAATCAGGAAGGGACCATCCCCAGGAGGGAAAAGTGACAAATACTTCCAGGCATCTTTGACTGGGCAAGGGCCGAGCTTACCATTGGCAGGCAGTCTCATTAAGGCACCTATGCCCAACAGGTCCGTTTTGGAATTCCAGATGTTGAGAACCAGCTCCACTTCAGAAAGCTGAACATCCAGCAAAAGCAAGTCCCTGGAGAACCCTCCTTGTGCTGACTCCAGCACCACTTCGCCCACACGCAGTGCACCAAAAAACGCAATAGAATAAGCCACCGAAAAGAGTCTTGCTCATAAGTGGACCAGCAGACAAGTCTTAACTTGCTGTGCATCTTGGATAAAAAGTCAAAAGTGACCAGCCTCCTACCTGGCAACTTAGGTGGCTGCAATCTGGCCCAACCCTCCAGAGCCTTGCGCATGACAAACTTTGCACAAGGATCTCTAGAATAAAGAGATTTACAGAAAAATGAAATGGCAGAAGATTGAATTCTAATGGACTTCACCACACGAACCATGCTCCACAGGTGAGCCAAAGACTGCAACACTTGATGCGTGGATGGCGACAAAGTATTGTCAATTGTCAAGTGCCATGATTAAAACTCTAAGAAGTCCATCCAGGCCTTCTTATAAGACCAATGTGGAAAGAAAAACAGATGCCACTACTCCCTGAAGGACTAGCTGCTGCCAAGGTTCCAAAGATGAACCAGGAAATAATCTGGAAGCTGCTGTGCAGCCAGAATCAGGGATCTGAAGTGCTCCACCTGAAAACGGGATAGGGCATCAGCAATATTATTAGTAGCACCAGGAATAAAACAGGCAGAAAACACAATGTTAAACCTGAGGCACCGAAGCACAAACATGCGCAAAAGGGCAGAGGCTCTGCTGGAGTGTGATGACTGCCTTGCCAAAACGCTCACCATGGCCTGATTATCGGACCAAAAACAGATCCAACCGGTCCTTGAACTCCATGGTCCAGATGTGCACTGCTATTACAATGGGAAAAAACTCAAG